AATCAGGCCGGCCTGCTCAGGAGCTGGGTGGGGGGGCGGGGGAGCCCCCGGGACTGAGGGCTGCTGCCTGCACACAGAACAGCAGAGGCCTCCGCCCAGCATCCAGAGTCCCGAAGCATCCCCCCTCCCAAGGCTCAGAGGGACCAGCAGTCTCCGCCACATAGAGCTTCTGGTCATTAACTGGACAGGTGCCCACAGAACCGATTTGCCTGCACCTCTTGCTTCCCCACGGCACCTGCAGGCTGAGGCCTGGGGCCAAATCAACAAGCCGGGTCCCTCCATGTGATAGGTGGCCCCCCGAGAAGGCAGCCACTCCCAGGAAGACCCAAGGCTCTGGGGTCTTGGCAAAGGAGGGCCTTCCAAGCCTCCAAGCAGGCAGATGCCCCAATCCCTGGGCTTCTGTGCTCACTGTGGAGGGATCCTGGCATCATGCAACCATCCACGGAACGGGCTGTAACCGGCATGTTGCTGATGAGGACCCTCCAGTGCCCACGTGGGCGAGACTGGTGGCCAAGAGTTAGACACGGCCACCACCCTCCTAGAGCAGATAAGGGGGTTCCTAAGGACCTAGCCACAGCCCCTAGGGCCCTCTGCCTTCTGTCTGCCATCCCCCCACACACACTTTTGCAAGAAGGCTGGCTGTTAAGTGCAGGGTTCATGACATGGTGGCCCTGTCCTTCTGGGGAGCAGAGCCTGCCGTGGGAACCCCGTGGCTGGCCTGCCAAGAGCCGCTGAGGCCGGACCCGAGGGTTGGTGTGCCCCCCCCCCCCCCCCCCCCCCCCCCCCGCCATGGTGGCCTGGATTTGGTGAGAGACGAGGCTGCAGAGAGGGAAAGCTAGAGAATAAATAAACCTCTGGGCATTTCCATGGCTTTGATGCAAAAAGAAAGGGTGCGCCCAGCCCACAGCCTTCAAAATCTCCCCCAGAGGACACATTTCAGTGTGTCTGTTAGAAGACTCACCTCCTAAGTCACCATCCAAAGCAGATGGAGAACGTGGCTCTTTGCACCAGCGACCCCATCCTCTTAGGGCCTCCTTCGTGCCCTGTGGCTGGCGCCAAACAACAGCAGAGCCGGGATTCAGAGCCAGAGCCGGATCCCCGCCCACGGTCTGTATCCCCGTGGCCCTGCTGCCTTCGCCGGGTTGGAGGGTTCCCTGGTGCCCTTCTGGGTTGGAGCAGCCCCCTAGCTGTGCACAGGGCATACGGCTGCGGGGTTCCCATCGTCCTGTGACCGAGGCCTCCAGATGAAGTGGGATGCCACTGGGTTAGTAGCAACCATTGGGAAAGCTCAGATGAGCCCTCCAAACTTCTTTCACCTTTTGGGGGAGACAGGCACTGTCTTTGGGCATGCTCCCGTAAAATAGGAAGCCTGTCCAGCTCAAGCCTTGGAGCCAGACCAATGTCCTGTGCCTGTGAACACACCTGATCCAGACTTTATGCTTCCTGCATTCATTCAACTCGGTTGGTGTTGAAGGTTTTCAATCCCCATCAGAGTCGTGTGACTGCACCTGCTAACATTATGGCATCAGGTTGCACCTAAAAAGCCATCCCGTGTAAGGTGAGGGGGTAGCCAGACTGCAACATCACCCATACTGACAGAAACCCTGGAAAGAGCCAGGACAGAGAAGACACGGGGCATCTTCTCACCCATGGAGGGGTGGTGGGTGCCAGACCCAGGACATGGACAGACTGCACAAGACATGGGAATTACCATTTTTATAGCTGATTATAACAGCAGACTGCACGACAGGCCAGGACTCCCCACGAGCCCCAGGGAATGTCCTTCCCTGGTTGTAACCTCAGGGAAAATCCAAATGGCCAGTGAACACATGAAAAATGTTTGCCTTCATCAGTATCAAGGAACGCAAAATACACCGCCGTGAACACCTGTCCGCGAGTGCTAGATGGCAAGAACTGAAAGACTGTACGGTGGCCACGTCAGCAGGGACAGGCATGGTGGCAGACCCCTTGCTGGTGGCAGTGTCCCAGCGCTTCCACTCTGGGTGTGTGCCCCGGAGGGTTCTCTCAGCTGCAAACCACCCGGGCCCGTGGTGAGCGGGCCTGAGGCCCTGGGGGCTGTCGCCCCACCTGTCCCGCTGCACTGGTCGCAGCAAAGGTCAGGATGAGGGACCAGGCAGAGCAGCGGCTGCCGGAGGGGCAGATGCCAGGCCTTCTGGAGGCAGGTGATGTCGCCTTCAGGAGCCTCCAGGGGACAAGGACAGGGCAGACTTGGAGGTGAAGTTGGCACCGGGGCAGGGCATCTCCGGGTTTCTAGACTTCCCTGCGGTGTAGGGGGCTTTCCTATCCCTTCCGGGTTCTGTGAGCATCTCCCCAGCATCCATGCACTGGGCGCCAGGCTGGGCCCAGGGATGTGAAGGTGGGTGGGGGGCAGCCTGTGCTGCCTGGAGGCATCCACGGCTGTGGGTGCCCTGTGAAGAAACAGATATTCCCACTGGGCCCTCCGGGTCCACGTAATGACCCCACCCAGACGACACAGAGCAGCAGGCGACTGGGGAGGTGAGGACAGCTTCGTGCTGGGTGACAGTCCGGAGTTGGAGGGGGGCGCTTTAGGGCAAGCACCCCCAACGGGGTACTATGCAGACCTCCCCAGCTTCCTCCAAGCTGCCAGCAGGCCCCGAGATTGTCCACAAGTGTCCTCAGCAATGATTTGGGTTTCTGTTGGGGGTTCCCATCACGATGCTCCAGGGTTGAGAAAAGTAACATACGAGAGTATGTTTGAAATGGACAATAACCATCCACGGTCCCTGTGGGTCCCCACGTAACCCTGACTCACAGGGTTATCTCTGATGGGGTGGGGGGTCTTCGAGGCACAGAAGCTCCTGGATGGACCCACTTTGCTATAACCAGACAAGCGTGGTCAGGTGGGAAGCCAGCCCTGCCCTGTGGCTGGCGAGGGGCTTCCCTGGGGACCAGCCTCCCTGAGGAGCTCCCCTCCTCCCAGCCTGGACAGGACAGGGTTTGTGTCTGCACAATCGCTAGGGAAGGACAGCTCACAGGCCTGCTCACAGCCAAGGCAGCACCTTGCTGGCCAACAGTGAGGGGTGGGGTTCCAGGCCCTGTGGGCTCTACTGGGTTTTGAAGAACCTTCTGGGCCTGCGCTGAAGTCTGGGTCTGTACCCGAGAGGTAGAGCCACCAGAGGCTGCCCAGCAGCGACAAGGTCAGGTCACGCTGGCAATGGCAGGGGACGGCTGCAGTGTGGGAGGCCACGAACCCTCCGGCCTGTCACAGGCCCTCACGGGTGCGGGTCTGTGGCTGCGCTGGACGGGGGACTACAGACAGGCATCAGTGGGAGCTGCGGCCGGTGTTTCTGTTCCCAGCCCGTCACCTCCTTCCGAAACGTTGCCGCGGCCAGTGGAGCCGCGAGTCCTGCCCTGGGGCCCGTGGTATCCAGATCCGGGCCCACCTGGCAGCAAGGCCCAGAGCCCACAGGACCCGGAGATGGGCACAGACGTGCTGGATGCCCACGTGGCTCTTGTCTGTCAAGGTGGCTGGGGGTTCTGGTGGGGACGTGCGCTGAGGGAGCAGAGTGGCTGGCACGGGCTTCCCCGCCTCTCACCCCTGCCCGGCCCATTAGCCAAGCCTCAGCCCTTCTGCCCTCCTTGGGCCGTGGATTCAGGCAAGGGAGGGTCATTCCAACAGCCAGGACTGGAGCAGGCGGAACGGAAGGGTGGGTGGCAGGCCCCAGAGGACAGGTGACCAGGGAGGCCATGGGTCAGGGTCCCCCAGCACTTGGTGACCCCCCGCCACCGTGCTGGTGTATGGGAACCAGCGGCACATCTCAGCCCCGCCCTGGAACCGTGTGTCAGCTGAATCGTGCCTTCCCGTTGCAACAGCTGGGCTTCGGAAGGGCTGAGAGCATCTTGTCCGCGAGTGGCAGCTTCCGCCGTGTGCCGGAAGCAATGACCCACGGAATCCACCCCGTAAAGTCGCACAGAGAATCCGCCCCCCACCGCTTAGATGCTCCCACCGTGAACAGGCACTGGGGGTTAGGGGCCTCCCCGCTCACGGGGCATCTTCCAGCTGGGCCAGGGGCCCTCGACCCGAACAGGAAGTCAGGCTCTGGGCCGTGAGATGCCCCCGGGGAGCACCCGACCTGGGCTCCCTTCTCCTGGCGGCACATTCAGTCAACACCCGTGCAAGCTGGTGCCTGCAGCCCGTGCAGACACCGCGAGCACAGCATCAACAAGGTGCCTGCGGTGGGGACCGGCTCACGCTTGCGCCGTGGGCTTCGTTCTCCTCAGGAGCGTAAACCCAGGCTTTGGGTTGTTGGTTAGTGTGTGTCTACTTGTGTGGCCGCGTGCATGTGCGTGTGCACACGTGTGTGCTGTGTGTGCACGTACACACTGCCAAGACGCCTCTTTAACGAGGCCCCACGAGCATCCCTGGGCTCTCCTGCGTCCTGGGGAGCCCACGTGCTGCAGCGAGGGCCCTAGACTGAGCCAGATCAGACAGACCTTTCATCCGTGGACCTCAGAGGCTGGGAAATTCAGATTTTCCGGTTTGCCAGCCTCCTCCACGCCCGAGTCTAATCCTGTGCTCTGCTTTGTGCCCTCATTCTCCTTTGAAAACTCCCAGACCACCTTCATCACAGGGCTGCACGCATTTCTGGAACCTGGCTGGCAGCTCTGACTTGGATGTGGGTGAACCCCGTGGCCCCGTCTTCTTGAACCAGCTTCCGATGGGCTGGCTGCCCTTCCCTCATCCATCTACCCCACAGAAAGAGCTGGAAGGGCCTGGGGAGTGACGTGGAGGCCTGTGCTGAGCTCTGAGGAGGAAGCAGATGGTGGGATGTGCCAAGTCACGTGGGCACAGGCAGCCCAGGCCCGGGTCCCCTCCTGTCACCTGCACTGCTGAACCCCAGAGGTTTGGCCAAGGTGCCCGTGGGGGCCAGTCCCTGATTTTTCTTTCTTCTTTCTTCCTTCCTTCCTTCCTTCCTTCCTTCCTTTCTTTCTTTTCTTTCTTTCTTTCTTTCTTTCTTTCTTTCTTTCTTTCTTTCTTTCT